ACCTCCGGGAACGAGTATTTTACCCAAGAATCTAACAACTTGTGCCTCCAAGAAAAAGAAGCTACAACTCTCAAGAACAAAGGAGTTTGTAGGATCATTAAAATCGCCTCCATGTGCGACAGTCTGGGGCCACCTAAAAAAATTAGTGTTTCCTTTAAAAGGACAGATGCATTAGGTAACAGGCAATAAAGTTACTTCACTACAAAAGTTTTCTTATAAATGTGGCTGGCTCTCTTAAGGGGAAAAAGAAATCTGGACGTAATACCCTGACCTTTCCATTGCATTTTACAGGAGTAAGTGGGGGCCAGGCACATCCTTCCCCTCTGGGCTACCAATATTGGCCGAGAAAGCCGCGCTCAAGGCATTCCGCAAGGTGCAGCAAGTCTAAGCTCCTAGACTTGAGAGCACGCAACTTAAAACCCGTGGCGGCACAGCTCCAGTCCAGCTCGACCTGAAGTCTGCAGTACCGTCAGGCGAGTGCCCGGAGATTCTGCCATACGGTGCGCAAACTGAACCCGTCACCAGCTTCCCTAATGGCATCTATTCTCCGTAGCTCTGCAGAATCGAGGACTTCCCGTGGGGCTTCAAAACTGCTCATCTGGTAGAGGCTCCCAGAGTGCAGCGAAGGTCAGCGAGGGCCGCGTCCGCCTCTTGGAGCCACTCCCAGCTGCAGAGATTGTCCGAGCAGCCGCCTACCTCTCCCCGGCCGCCCCAGCTTCCATTATACACGCCCTCGTTTTCCTTGCGGAGCCCCAATTCTTTGAGCCAGGCATACTGGGGCTGATGGATCAGCAGAGTGGACATGAAGGCAGCGGGCCTGTTCAAGGGTCTTAGGAGTTTGCAGGTTCTTGCAGCGTGCACGCCTAGGGCGCGGCACAGACGCCACATCCTGAGTCCTAGGGTACGCCGAGCGCCTGCGTCGCGCGGAGCGGCTGAAATAGGAGCCCGCCCCCACTCAGGGAGCGCCCATTGGCTGGCAGGGCACACGCATCACCCCTAGCCCGTTCCCCCGCCCACTCCCGGGTCTTCCGGAGGAGCCCGGAGCTCAACCTCGGCCTGCAACCTCCGGCTTTCAGTGGGGTGGTTAAGTGCGAGGATTGCATCCTGTGGTGCTGATGCAGTCAAGAGCCAGGGATTCACCTGGCCTTTATGTCGGACGCACGTTCTCATTCCGCGGGTCTGTACTGAATCTGAGGGCCCCCAATTAGCATCACATTAGGATGTGAATTTAGTGTGTGTGTGTGCTCTGAAATAAACGGCTTCCACCCATTAATTTACTCCCAAGCCTATTTTAACACCAATGAACTTGCAGTCAGCCTTTCCAATAAAATAAATAAAAATTAAAATCTTTAAACAAAAGAAAAAAAGAAGCTTACAGCTTTTGACAGTCTTAGCTCCAGACATTGTGGTCATTTGGGGAGCAAACTAGTGGATGCAACATCTCTCTCTCTCTCTCTGTCCTATCTATGACTCTACCTTTCAAATAAAAATAAATCTTTTTTATACAACAGATCTTTAAGAAATTATTTTGTCATTAATAAAAGGCAGAGAGAGGAAGAGATAAAGAGTTTCCATCTACTAGTTTGCTCCCTAAACGTGCGCAACAGCTATGGCTGAGTCAGCCTGAAACCAAAAGCGAGGAACACCATCCGAGTGCTTCATGTGAGTGGCATGGATCCAAACTCTCGAGGCTCGCGGTGTTAGAACTCGCCACTGCCAGAACTCACTTCTGGAGGCCAACATTCACCTGTGAGAACAGCATCCATACTGACCCTAAGGGTCTCCCACGACGCCACACTAGGGCCAACCCTCCAACACCCAAACCCATGGGGGGAAACTCATACTCTATCAGAAAGTGGCACTACTATCCTGGGAGAACTATTGTTACTCAAGAGTTCACAAGCAACGATACTAGAGCAGAATGCTAGATTACTATTTTGCAGGGAGGACATCTTCAGAGAGCATCTTCCAGTCATATCCTGTCACTGCTGCATTCTAACCAAGAGAAAAAGTGCCTATCTGGTTGCTCAAGGAGGCCAGAAAGGCTCCTTAACACAAGAACTGCTCCTTAACAACCCAAGTCCTGATGTTGGCACTATGGATCAATGCATAAAGCAGCAGGCTGGCACCTGCATCCCCTATGGTATCGGTTGGCGTCCTGGCTGCTCCACTTCTGATCCAAATTGCTGATATGCCTGGGAAAGCACAGGGAAGGATGGCCCAAATGCTTGGGCCTCCTGCACCTGTGTGGGAGACCTGGAAGAAGTTCCTGCTTCCTGGTTTCACAGCCTGGCCAGCCCCAGCTACCGCAGACATCTGGATGAAAGATCTCTCTCTCTCTGTACATAACTCTGCCTTTCAAAAACACACACACATTCTTCAAACATATATACACTATATATGTACATATGTGCATTTAATAGCACAGGCTTCCCCAATGGAGATCTTGGAACTTGCTGTATCAATGACAAAGAATGTGGCTGATAAAAGAGCTGGCAAGAAGGTGCCTGGCAATGAGTTTCACTGGAAAAAGTGAAGAGACAGAACTTGCCACAGGTCGTAAGTTAGGCGGGCATCTTGGCAAAGGACCTAGAGCCCAGTCTGCATTCAGATGGGTTTTCATGGGCATTCCCCATTTCCTCTCCCTGGCCCCTTTTCTGGGAAAATCTAGGCAAGGGGGTTTTGGATGTGGAATTTCTGTAACTTCTCTCTTCTTCCCTGCCTCCCCACCCAGAGACAAAACTAGCCATCAAGGATTTTGTCTGTCAGAGAAGCAAATGACTCCTTCAGTCCAGTGACTATAACCTCGCCAGGCCACCTGCATCAACTCCCTCAGCTTGGTGGATTGCATTTCATTAAGGACAGGCAAGGGCACCTCGGACTAAGGCAGACAGACTAGAGGCTGGGTCCTGCATTCAGGACCTGTTGCCTGGTCTCACTGCACACAGACCTACTTTCTTTAAAACTTTCCATTATCTTCAGCCACTCTGACACACTTAGGTTAATATCTACCTAGTTGCCTTAATGACAATTAAAGTAGAGGTTGGCACTATGGTGTAGTGGGTTAAACCTCTGCCTGTAATGCTGACATCTCAGTTGGAGAAGGTTTGAGTCCCAGCTGCTCAGTTTTCCCTTCAGCTCTCTGCTAAAGGCCTGGAAAGGCAGTTGAGAATGGTCCAATACTTGGGGCCCTGCTCTTATGTGTGGAACTGGGAGGAAGCTCCCAGCTCTTGGCTTTGGATTGGGCAGTCTGGCCATCGAGGCCATTTGAGGAGTGAACCAGTAGAAGGAAGATATGTCTCTATCTGTCCTTCTCTATATAATTCTACCTTTCAAATAAAAATTAAAAAGAGTAAAAAACTCAAATTATAAGCCAATTCTAAAATTTGAATGGAACTACAAAGGATCTGGAACAGCCCAAACAATTTTTCAGGAAAGAAAAACATTTGTATTACCTAATTTCAAAGGTAGATCCTCATATGTACAATATCCATTGATGCTATCAAGCAAAATCAATAGGAAACAGCAGCATTTCCAACAAATGATGGCCTACTGATTTAATCTTCATATGCAAGGAAAGAGAGGGGTAGGGGAGAAGAGAGTATGCAAGGCAGGTTGACTCATACTGCAGACCATATATAATAATTAATTCAAAACTCACCACAGACCTAACACTTGAAAACTTCAAGAGAAACACTCTAGAGGACAGTATCTCTCTGGGTGCTGCTGTACTCATCATAGAATGCTGAGTTACTGGGCCCGGCACAACAGTTCAACTGGCTAATCCCCCACCTCCAAGTGCCAGGATCCCACCCACGTGGTTGCCAGCTTGTGCCCTAGTTGCTCTACTTCCTGTTCAGCTGCTTGCATGCGGCCTAGGAAAGCAGCAGAAGACAGCTCAAGTCTTATGGATCCTGCACCCACATGGGAGACCTGGAAGGCATTCCTGACTCCTGGCTTTAGATCGGTTCAGCTCTGGCTGTTGTGGCCATCTGGGAAGTGAACCAGCAGATGGAAGATCTCTCTCTCTCCTTCTCTCTTTAAGTCTGCCTTTCAAATAAAAGTAAAAATAAAATAAATTATATATATATGTATATATATCTCCAGAAATATATGTATCTCTAGACATGATCAAACGCCCCCATCCGGGAACACCCCAGAGTTGGGGGGAAAAAACAGGGTTATTCTGTGTTCTGCAAACACAAAAAGCAGCAATCAGAAAACAAATCAATCCCTACGCTTGTAAGCATTAAATATGTGTGCTCCTCAAAGAACACTATCAAGTCGAACACACATTTCTGACTTTAAAAACAGACAAAAACAAAGCGAACATCCCCCCTTCATTAGAGCACACAGATAAACGTGAGCTCAGCTCTGCCTTCACTCGGGTGGTCTCCTGCCCGGAGCTCCCAGGCCCCCAGCGGGCGGACGGGCGCCCCCTCACCCCTCACACAGCCCGCCCGCCCCTCACACAGCCCGCCCGCCCCCTCACACAGCCCCCCGGCCCCTCACACAGCCCCCTCGCCCCTCACACAGCCCGCCCGCCCCTCACACAGCCCCCTCGCCCCTCACACAGCCCGCCCGCCCCTCACACAGCCCCCTCGCCCCTCACACAGCCCGCCCGCCCCTCACACAGCCCCTCACACAGCCCGCGCCCCTCACACAGCCCGCCCCCCTCACACAGCGCCCCTCACACTGCCCCCTCGCCCCTCACCCCGCCCCCTCGCCCCTCACCCCGCCCCCTCGCCCCTCCCCCCGCCACAGCCCGCCCCCTCACACAGCCCCTCACACAGCCCCCTCACACAGCCCGCCCGCCCCTCACACAGCCCGCCCGCCCCTCACACAGCCCCCTCGCCCCTCACACAGCCAGCCCGCCCCTCACACAGCCCCCTCGCCCCTCACACAGCCCGCCCCGGCCGGCCTCGCGTTCCCGGCGTGGGGCGCTGCGAACCCGCCGTCCCCCGCGCGAGGGCGCCGGAGCAGCCGCCGCGCCGCCGGAAGTGCGCTCCTGAGGCGCCGGGCGCTCCCGCCACGGGAAGATGGCGCTGGAAGCGGGCGACATGGAAGATGGGCAGCTTTCCGACTCGGACTCCGACATGGTGGTCGCGCCCAGCGACAGGCCGCTGCCGGTGCCGGTAGGGACGGGAGGCGGCGGCGGGAGAGGGGCGGCCGGGCGCGTGGAGCGCCGGCCCCGGGGAGGCGGGGAGCGGGCGCGCGGAGCCTGCTGGAGGCGGCCGTGTGCCCTGGGCCTGCCAGGCCGCCGGTCGCGTTGTAAAACCTAGCGGCTTCCCGGGCCCGGCGCCGGCACGTCGTGTGGCACGGACGCGCGGGGACCTGGAGGGCGAGGCCCCGGATCCCCTCCGCGACCCGCGGGGCCTGGCCGCAGCGCCCCACGCCCACCCGGCTCCCCGGCCGCGCGCGTTGCGGGGTGGCATGGCGCGGTGGCCCGCAGATGCGAAGCGCAGTGTTCAATGCGAGATGCTGCGGGGCAGTGTGTGTCCCACGGGCGTCCTGTTTGTGCAGGGCCGAGGAGGGGGTTGCAGGATGGCTGTGCTCCTCAAGGAGCGCTGCTCTCACTGGGCGCGCACCACCCGGCCAACAGCACCTTGTTCCCAGGAGTCTGTGCGGTTAATAATGCGGTGGTAGCTTTTTAAAGCGCCTACGACACTGCTTGTATATAAATGTCAGGAATTCGATACCAGTGTAATTTGTTCTTAGTGGTTTTCCCTAAATTGCTGTCACAAACTCAGCAGTTTGCCAAAGCAATGTTGGTGGGGGTGGGGGTCTGTGTGTGGCATGGCAGGTAAGGCAGCCTGCACACAGTGGTGCCCATGGTGCCGGTGTGCATTAGAGTCCTGGCTGGCTGCTCCACTTATTCATTTTTAAATTATTTATTGGAAAGTCAGATATACAGAGAGGTCAGATATGCAGAGAGGAGAGACAGAGAGGAAGATCTACTGTCCATTGAATCACTCCCCAAGAGGCCGCAGCAGCCGGAGCTGCCCCAATCCGAAACCAGGAACCTGGAGCCTCCTCTAGGTCTCCCAGGTGGTGCAAGATCCCAAGGCTTTGGGCCACCCCCCACTGCTTTCCCAGGTCACAAGCAAGGAGCTGGATGGGAAGTGGAGCAGCTGGGATATGAATCGTTGCCACATGGGATCCCAGTGCTTGAAAGCAGAGGATTAGCCGATTGAGCCATTATGCTGGGCTCAGCACTCCATTTTTCCTGCCTCTCTTCTTTCTTTGTACCTCTGGCTTTCAAATAAAAAAAAAATTTTTTTTGAAGTAACGTCAGGTGTTTCTGCTCATATAAGTTTACCTGCTGATCCAAAGGAAGGCAGTCACAAAGCTATATTAAGGACGTTGATGTGTTCATAGCCAAGATCGGTGGTATCTGGAAAGAAAGAAAACAATTCCAATTGCCAGAAACAGATTGTGCGCATTCGCAAGCATTAAGTGCTGCCTTACTTCTAGAAACAAGAATTGTACCTCCTCCAGCTCCCCAGGGTTTATTTATTTATTTGAGCGCAGAGAGAAAGAGGTCTTTGATCCACTAGGTCGCTCCTCGGCTGCCTGCAATAATCAGGGCTGGGCTAAGCCAGGGGCCCAAGCACTTGGGTCGTCTGCTGCTGTTTTCCCAGGTGTATTAGTAGGGACTCAAATACGGGATGTGAGGTGTCCCAAACAGTGGTGTAACCATAACACTATAACTGTACCCACCCCTACCACATTCTTAGCTTTAAATTGGGTGTATTTCGTAAGATGTTTTTGCAGTTACTTCTGTTCCAAAATTGTCCAGTTGTGTATCTAAGTGAGTTTTTTAAAAGCTGTATGTGGTGGGTGGAGGGCATGTGCTTTGGGGAACTGACTGTATTGCCTTTGCTTTGCAGAAGGCTCTAGTGGGGGACAGCGCCATGAGGGGCTTCCAGAGCGCCACAGCAGCGTGTGCACCAGCAGCACACTACCGGACTGTTCAAAGTGTGGATTCAAGTGAGGAGAGCTTTTCTGATTCTGACGATGATAGCTCTCTTTGGAAACGCAAGAGGCAGAAGTGCATCAACCCTCCTCGCAGGCCAGAGTTTGACCAGGGCGGTCAGAAGCCGCCTGCTGCCGGCGGAAAGAAGGTGAACAACATCTGGGGCGCTGTGCTGCAGGAACAGAACCAGGATGCCGTGGCCACTGAACTGGGCATCTTGGGCATGGAGGGCACCATCGACAGGAGCAGGCAGTCGGAGACATACAACTATCTGCTTGCTAAGAAACTTAGGAGGGAATCTCAAGAACATACAAGAGATTTAGACAAAGAGCTGGATGACTATATGCACGGTGGCAAAAAGATGGGCTCAAAGGAAGAGGAGAACGGGCAAGGTCATCTCAAACGGAAACGACCCGTCAAAGATAGAGTAGGACCCAGGCTAGAAATGGACTATAAAGGCCGGTATGAGGTCACGGAGGAAGATTCTCCAGAGAAGGTGGCTGATGAAATTGCTTTCAGGTGAGTCCCTAAAATTGACCTTCAAGTGAGTCCTTGACTGGAATCTCCTCTGTTGTTGGCAGGTGTATTCATGATGCTGCTTTGAATTTTATTCGTTTTTTTTTTTTTCTTAAAGGATTTTGGGCTTATTTGGTTATGTGAATGTGTTTGTATTTCCTTAAACTTGGACACTCTTAAGAGAATAATCTTGGAGACTTTTATAACTTTAAGTAACTCTTTGCATTTCCTGCCAATGAACTCTTCTATAAGACCTTTTAAAAAGTATTTTATTTGAAAATCAGACAGTAGCTCCCATCCACTGGTCACTCCCTGAATGCCCACAACAGCCAGGTCTGGACCAGGCCAAAGCCAGGAGCTGGGAACCATCTAGATTTACCACGTGGGCTGTAGGGAGCCACGAATTCGGCCTGGCCTGCTGTCTCTCATTTACCAAGAAGCTGAGTCCGAAGCAGGACTAAGTCTTGAACCAGGGCTGTCTGACATGGGGTGCAGACATTGGCAGCAGCACCTTAGTGCCTGTGTAAATGGCCACCCCTTTTGTAAATCACGTCTCTTACATACGATAACACTCGTTTCTAGTATTGGGCTTTTTTGTTTTGTTTTGTTGTTTTTAAGCAAATTTATCAAGCTGTACAAAACTTTTTCCTATTTGTTTAATTTTATATATTTGAAAGACACAGAAAGAAAGAGAGATCTACAATAGCCAGAACTGGGCCAGGCAAAGCCAGAGGGCAGGGACTTCATGATGGTTTCCTGTCTGGATGACAGGGACCCAAGTGCTTGAGCCTTCATCTGCTTCCTTCCCATGGAGTCCATTAGCAGAAAACTTGATCGGAAGCCCAGGCAGGACAAGAGTCATAAGCACTCAGGGAATGCATGTGTACCAGGTATTGGCTTAACCTGCTGTGCTGGAACCCCAGCCATTTCCAGTATGACCATTTGGCAATTTACAGTTGTTAATCACAGTTCTTACTCCCATGCAACTTCCGATCTACTCTCTGTATAAATTTGCCTTTTCCAGGCATTTCACAGTAAGTGAAATTACACAGCTAACTTATTTCACTTAGTGTGAATGTTTTGAGTCATGCTGTAAGAACAAGTCAGTCCATCTTTGTGTGTGTGTGTCTCCATACTGAGTGGGTATCTTCTGTTGGGAACCTTCACCTGCACATATTTGGGCAAATATATAGCAGTAGTATTGCTTTTTGAGAGTTAAACTTACCATTCATGTATTTTTAAACTCACCTTTATTAAGTTTTCATTACATCTAAGTTGCTCATGTACAGTGTGTCACAAACTTGAAATTAGATATGGTTCAGGAGTAATATATGGGCAGACATTTGTACAGTAAGAGGTTTTACTGAAAAGGCAGGTTTAACTGAGAGAAGGAATGACAAGAAATCTTCCATCCGCTGGTTCTTTCCCCCAGATGCTTGCAATGGCCAGAGCTGAGCCAATCTAAAGCCAGGAGCTTCTTCCCAGTTTCCCACATGGATGTGGGGGCCTCAGGACCTGGGTCATCCTCCACGGCTTTCCCAAGCCATTAGCAGGGAGCTGGATGGGAAGTGGAGCAGCTGGCACCCATATGGGATATTGAGCACCCATGCTGGGCCCACACTAATATGAATTTTTATACTGGGAAAAAATGGATAGGGTCATAGATTTAGCTTCAGACCAGAACTAGGCCCTGGTTCCTTCGCTCTACCCTCGCTTGAAGACTGCCTTCTATTGAAGAGACAAGATGCCAGGTCTGCGAGACATTGGTGCTATTAGTCCTCCCTCTTTTGTACGAAGTGGTGGTTCTGACATCAGGAGACTGTCTTAGGCTCCCTGAGTTTTAACTGAAAGTGATAGTGTCTGCCTCATAACGTGGAAACACAGCTGTTGGACACAGTGTGTGTGAGGGTCTTAGTGTGTGTTTCTCCAGCGGTAGGAAGCTGTTGGCTAATTCAGCTATTTCTTTGTTGTTCTGGGACAGTGTGTGAGGGAAAGGGCCTGTTCTTTTGGGTCTTCAGGCAGCTCTGGGGTTAGGAAAGCTGAAAGCAGAGTTCAGCACATGTTTGGTGTGACAGGAAGTGGAGTGCTCTATCTTCTTTTGGATTTAGGCTTGCATCCACCTTCAGCTGTACATTGAAATCTGTTGCAGCCATTTGGGAGTGAACCAGCAGACAGAAGATGTTTCTCTCCTTTTCTCTGTAAATCTGCCTTTCCAATAAAAATAAATGAATGTTTGTTTTTTTTTGTTTTTTTAAAGCAAAGAAAAGCACATGTTAACTAGAATGAGATCTCTGTGGTGGAGAACTAAACTGGAGACTGGTAGATTTCTCCAACTCTGTCAGCATAGCAAGAGGTTAATTATACTTTATTTGTTCATGATCAGGTTACAGGAACCGAAGAAAGATCTGATTGCACGGGTAGTAAGGATAATTGGAAACAAAAAGGCAATTGAACTCCTGATGGAAACTGCTGAAGTCGAACAAAATGGTGGCCTTTTTATAGTGGTAAGACTGCTTGATTATTGTTTTTTCCTACTTTTCAATGTGATTTTGACAAACTTGCCTGTGTCTCTTATCCTTTATTATAATGTTTCATTTTTAAAAAACTGTTGGCATCAATGAATACTGAATTTTAAAACTCACAGCTTTTTGGCAACTAATACTTACTATTCACAAAGGTTGATATGTTTTAGTGTGTTAGTGTAAAGAGTGTATCTGACTCACTAAAGTTAGGGAGTGGAATTTTAGCACAAGTGTGGAAGAGCTTAAGAACTTCAATTTTGTAGAATTGGGAGATGGTGTGTCTGTTTTTGGGTTTGAGTCAGCAGCTCACTGAGATTTAGCTGAAGTTTCTGGCTCGTTGGCATCTCGGTCTCCTCAGGTGTAAAAACGAACATCAGCCAACCTGATGCAGGTAAAGTGTTACCTGCAGTGCTCACTGCTTAGCAGCTGGAATGGAAGTGTTACCTTGGGTTCATTTAATTCACATTCCCTTGAAGAAGAGGACCAGAATCTCTTCTTTCACACATGAAGGGCAGATATATACACTATGGCCATCTAGTAGATCTGGTACTGTGGCACAGTAGGTTAAGCCTTCCCCCCTGGGTTGTTGGCAACACCTGAGTGCTAGTTTGGTACTTGGCTGCTCCACTTTCAAGCCAGTTCTTTGTTCATACACCTGAGAAAGGAGCAGCAGATGGCCCAAGTGCTTGGGACCCTACACACCTGGGAGGGCCAGAAGAAGCTGAGGTTTCTGTCTTTGGCCTGGCCAAGTGTTGACCATTGTGGCTACTTGAGGACTGAACCTGCACATGAAGATCTCTCTCCCTCCTCTGTCCCTCCCCTCTCTATAAATTTGCCTTCCAAAAAAGATATTAAACATTTCATGGGT